CGGGAGATTTAGCTCAGACCGCGCGGGCCTCCGGGGCCCTCCCTGGGACCACGTGGGGAGCAGCAGGCGGGACCGAGTTCTGGGACAGCCTGAGCGAAAGGCCCGAAGAGAGAAGCACAGGAGGTTAAGGAGACCTAGTCCTGCTCATTTCTTCAGACGCCATCGCGCAAGGCTACAACACAGTGCCTCAAGGAATTTAGCTGTTCAGAGGGGTGCTGAAACCCAGTCGCTTCCCTCAGAAAACCAGTTCAGATGAGACTTTAACCAGGAGCAATAACAGACATTTTGAAAAAGGATAAGCTGGATACGAGGCTCCCTTGGTGGGTGAGAAAAAGGAAATAAGGGGCCTCTGCTTAGGCCACAGAAGTGGCAATGACCCGGAGAAGTTACACAGAGATGTGTCACAAAAAACTTCCAGGAGCATCTGTAGAAACATCTCTTCTACATAGTTTAGAAAGGACTGGGAAACTTGTGAAGGAGAGATGCAGTGTTGAATGGCAAGAGCTGGGCGCGGCGGACTGAAACGAGCGGCTGCTTCACGTTTCCCGTGCTCCCGAGCAGCTGACAGAGGAGATGTCTAGCACCGAGAAGCAGCAGTATTCTGACTGCGGAGCAGCGGGTCGCTCCCCATTCATCTCCCAGTTGTGCGACTCCCGTGCCTTGTGTGTGCACGTTATCCCTGGGCCAGACAGCTATACCATCTGGGCTGCACTTCCATATTGCGCTTGGGAGGGAGTGTTTACTTGCAGTGTTCGCAGTGTTGAGATTTGAGACACATGTACGACACATGCAGGAAATATGCTGTAATAATCTCATGTTTATAATTCAGAGAGCAGGATGGCAGAGCTGGAAGTAGGTTTGATCAGGTTCCAAACCGATTTCCTGGAGACACAGTTAAGCTAGAAATGTTAAGAGTGAGTCTTCAGCAGGTCAGGTACTTGCAAGCAAAACACCTGATTACCAAGAAGTTGACTGTTCAGAAGATTTTAACTTTGTCAAATTTGGTGCAACCATTTTAGATGGTGATATAAACCCCTCTGACCATTTCTTCCTCCCGTCCCTCTGCTCCGGTCATATGCAAAGGCCTCTGCTTCTCAGGAAGGGGCCTCTCCTTTTATTAATATCATTGCCACCACCAGTCGCCCGTTGTTTTATCTGGAAAATCTTTTCTCTATTTAGCGTTGCCAACTCTCATAATAGTTTGTGTTTTTCCTGAAATTCTTGGAGGCGATTGGTTACGTGACAACCCTGAGTCTCCGCTTTGGTAATTAGAAGAAAAGGTTCCTGGCCCTGGAGGCAGGTTGCAGAGAAAAGCTGAAAAATGATTCCCCCAGCACTAAAAGGCTGCTAAGAGCCTAGTATTTATTATTACATTTAAAAGCTGTGCTTTTCAAGCCAGTCTTCTGATCTGGGGTACTGGGATACATGAGGTTCGTTATTTTTAAGCCCCTGGGGGTTGGTAACACTGTATCTGTGTTTCTTTATGGGAAGCCCAGAACCCACAACATCCAGGTCATTGCCCCGGGCACCCAGCTTCACCTCTCCTAGAGGTGCCCAGGGAGCTACCGGACAACCCCGACCCCTTCACACTCTCCATGTTTCTTCATCCATTTTGTTTCCAGCAGGGTCTCAGATGCACAGAAAAAGGCACATGCATGCTTGTATGTGTGTGTCCATATACATGTATGTTTAGCTTTTTTGCTCTGAATTACTTTTAAATATCAGACAGGTTTATAATAGCTTTAAGGTGTCAGAATTCTTCTTGTCAAAACTGGTGCTGATACTCTGGGTCCTGCACCCGCAAGCTCCCATCTGCTTTTCCACGACCGCTGACTGCAAGGCGACACAAGTGCATAACGATGACACTTTAACACACATTGTGCGCCAGCCATAATGAAACTTGCCTCGTTTCAGCAGTGAGTTGTTTGGATGACACATAATAAATCACGCCGCCTGTTCCTGCACTGGCAGGATCACCTCTGCACTAAGTTAACCATGTCTGAAACTTGACCTCCCAAATTCTGCAGCCTGCTTGTAACAACAGTCAGCTCACTGACTTCCACCCAAGCCTCAAGTGCGCAAATTGCTCCACATATTTTAGTAATAGGGCCAGCAGTAACCTCAGCACTTCTTGCTGACCTCCCAGCCTGGCCCTATTGATCACATGAAAAGGGCAGGGTGGGACTTGCTAGCACAGGAGGCGAGGAGCTGCAAACACACATCGGACTAGATCAGACTCAAACCGAGACGTGACAACCCCCAGAAACGGACATTGTGCACCTCCAGCCCCCCAGTAACACCAGCAAAGGCAGTCAGAAGCAGGCTGGGGGTGTGCACAGCTGGAGGCCTGCGGGAGCGGAGCGGAGTCGTCCCTGCCCCCACCCCGGGGAGCGGGCTGCGTGCCGAGCTG